GAAACCTGAACCTGCTGTTGTTACCTGCACTACATGTGTTAAAGATAACGCAAACGCTGCCACGTCATCAACACTTGTTGCCTTTGCGAAGTGAAATTCAAAATAATCTCATATCTTTCTGACATGTAAAGTTATGTTGAATTGCTTTGCAATCAAATTTTTGAGTTCGTTACTAACTTTTGAACTTTATACATAAATGCAGTATACAGGGTGGAGACTTGCGTAACGCATCATAGGGATTTCAATGTAAAATTCGTAACGTGCGTTTATTGGCTCCCCAAAGTATTTTAGAGCAAAAATGTATTAGTTTTTTGTAGACAATTCAACTCATGTATAAAAAATCGCATAAGCCGCAGTGAAATTGTCACTTTGACAGCGGCAAAAGTTACCTGCAACTTTTCCAGCGACAAATGCACTAGTGGTTTTTTCACTTATTCATTTTCGAACCAATTATCGCATTATCTCCCATATGACTAGTTTGACGTCTGTCAGTAATTGATTAGTTATGTGAATTTCTTGTTCGTTAAATTGTCCTGCCGAATTACACTCGAGGTTTGTATTTAAACCGAGTAAATTTGTGTTGTTGCAATTCAAATCTGTTGCCTTTTAGCAATTGAACTCGAAAAACTGTCAACCTAAAAATGCTCCACCTGCGGTGTCGCATTTTTATTAGTTGACAGTTTTTCTCGTCTAATTGCTAGGCAACAGATTTTCATTACCTAAACAACCAAAATTTACTCGGTAAAATACAAACCTCTTGTGCAATTATAAGTGAAAAAATTTTTTTACGCCAATCAACCGTATTAGTTTTCAATTTTTTTCACATAAAGACGGAAAATTGGAAAAATTAAACCGGCATCTTTTTCAATAATCTGCGATGCCATGGAATTTTCTAAAACAAAAAGATATCCAGTTATCAATTAGCAGCAGATCGAAATGGATTTTATGATCGACTTGGTTACTGTCTTGCAGTTAATGGTGACTTATTCGAACATTTATCGTAAATTGTTATATTAGGAAACCGTTTTTAGTAATCTGGTCTTTCTTTATGTTGAATTCGCTGTTCTAAATATAATACTTTTTGATAGAATTTGATTTGTTTTATAGCAGACATTCCATGGCATGACGGATATTGGCGTAGTTTTTGTATTATAAAATTCCATGGCATCACAGATTATTGAAAAAGATGCCGGTTTAATTTTTCCAATTTTCCGTCTTTATTATTCAAAAAATGGAAAACTAATACGGTTGATTGGCGTAAAAAATTTTTTTCTACAAACAACTTTAATACATTTTTGCTCTAAAATAATTTGGGGAGCCAATAGTCGCACGTTATGAATTTTACATTGAAATCCCTATGATGCGTTACGCAAGTCACCACCCTGTATAAACACGGACCCTACTGCAACCTGCAAGGTTCCCCAAAAGTCCATATCTTGTGGTGCGTCGTGCGTGGGTGAAAATAAAGTTGGGACGCAAAGGTGGTTTCTTTTTGCAAAAGGTTCAAAGGAAGCGAAATCCGCTCTTCCAGTATCAAATACCACTTGCATAAAAAGGTAACAATTACTTTCTAGTACTCGTATTACCAAACGAATTTTCATCCAAATAAAGGGGTGAAATTCGCCTTTGTAGTTTTAAGATTTATTCACCACGCACAAATTCAGTCAGCGACCGTAAGGGGGCTAGATTTGCCCATAAGAAATTCAAAGGGTTTTGATTAATCTCTTTTGTTGCAAAATAGGTACTTATGTAGGTATATTGGCATTCACTTAGCAACCTTATGAGGGGCTGAAAGTCGATCTTGTAGTGTAAATATTTATTTACCACGCACACGTTCGGGTGTAGGCGGTTCAGCGAGTGGAGAAACTTGCTCTCGCCTTAAAAAATTGAATTACCACTCGTACAAAAGAAAGTTTCAGTTAGTATTGGTCTGCACAGGGTTGTGATTAATCTCTAGTGTTATTAAAGAAATTGACCTTCAGCTAGCGACCATATAAGGAAAAGGGGGCGAAATTCACCCTTGCAACTTAAAAAATTCATTGACCACTCGCGTAAAAAACGTTGAAATTTCTTAATAAATTTGTGAAGGTTACGATACATTCTTATTATTTAAAAAAAAATCGGCGTCTATTTAAAAGGGCGAACACGCCCTTATATTAACCCCCTCCATAAAAAATTAATCTCTGGTACCTATTAGCAAAGAGTACCCATCTATTAGGTACTAAAGGAATTTGTCATTCAATTCAAGCAACCCTATAAGGGCTTGGGGGGGGGGGATAATTTGTTCTTGTATAGCTGATACGATGTCTAATTTGAGCATCCTCGCACAAAAGTTGCTTTTGAAAGCTATACCTAACGTTTAAGGAATATTAAAGCCAACTAATTTTGAAATCACTTCTATTCAACTTTGTACATTATAGACGTCACATGAATTACCTAACCATTTTGGCTTCACTAATAACGGGCGGTCAAAAATGAGTTGCTGTCTAGTCGCCTTTGAACGTTCAAGTTAAGTATGATTTCCCATGTAAACAAAAATTCCAAAGGTGACTCGACAGCAACTCATTTTTGATCGCATTGTGATTTATGAGTACCCTCCGACATTTCATTTTCGAGATAAAGTTTTAATATCATATATAGCTACGTCTCATAATGATCTCATCCAGGTGACCCAGACGTCCCAAAATGTTGGAGAGGATGGCTGTAGAAATTAATTCCTGCTGTTGAGACTTTTCAAAAAAAGACCATGCAGAATAATACCAGTTTTTAAATTTCATCGCATTCGTTCACTTTTAAATCGATGGACATGAAGCCACCTTTGATTAGAGTAGCTATACCATGATAAAAGCCCCCCCCCCCCCATCACCCACTGATCTCAAAAAGAAATCACAGAAGACAGTTATAGGTTGTGAAAAGCAGTTATTTTCGATGAGACCTACTTTCATTAGAATACCATGAAGGAAGGGTTGAACGCGTGTTTACCTTTTCTCTCCTCTCTCCCCAATTTTTAAAAGTATTACACGGCACCATGAGAGACATGTCTATGCAAAATCTTGAACAAATTGATTGTCCCATGGAAAAGTTATACACGTTTCACATTCAGAATCAGAAACAGCATCTCAGAAAATAGTTAATGGCGTCCGGTAGAATATCAATAGATATATTTCTTCCAGAGGTCCCAATCGACCTTTTTGAGTATACTTGAGATATAAGGAATGATTTACCTATATCCGATCACGATAAGGCGTTAGGGAGGAGGTTATGGTTAGTAGAAATAAATTGATTTCATTAGAATAGGTACCCTGAAGGACAATACCAGTTCCACTCCCCACTCTGAAACCCTCCCTTGATAAGAAGTCAGTAGTAGTACTAGGAAAACAGTTCGCGCAACAAAGTTAGTTTGTACAAACCAATTCATTTCAGTGAGACCTTCCATTAGAATACCATGAAGGGTACAAAGTGTGGTCCCCTCCGCCCCCTCCATTTTCAAAAATTTTACTTGAGACAGTAAAATTTGATGAGGTATAGGCTACGTATTGTAACAAATTCAGGACTGTATAGGACCATTGCCCTAAAAGTAGATCAAAACGGCAGAATCTGGGTCCGGACGGACGGATGGATAAAACGCAAAACAACGCTCTAAATCATTAATATAGTCTTGTCCGTCCGTCCGTCTGTCCGGACCCACTTCTGCAGTTTCGAACTACTTGTAAAGAAATTGTCTTGGAGGCCTGGGAATCCTGTAATTTAACAAAATATCCTATTGTTTGCGTTTTGTTCGTCCGCCCGTCCGTCCGTCCGGACCCACTTCTACCGTTTTGAACTACTAGGGGAATGGTCCTAGAGTCCTGGAATTGTTTGCAGTAGGCTGCCTGTACCTTGGAAGGTGTGTTAGGCGACCATCAAATATCGCTGTGTAAAAGCCCCCCCCCCCCTCCCCCGAATTATTTCCTAAGATGCTGTTTTTGAAAGTAAACGTGCATAACTTTTACATACGACACCAATTGTCTCAGATTTTGCATACGCGTGCAAGTTCAACTTTAGAAATTGGGGGGGGGGAGGTAAACGCATGTTTCATGGTATTGTAATGAAAGGTCTCATCGAAATAAATTGGTTTGTACCAACTATAACTTGCCCGTGCGACTATTTTTCGAGATCAGTGAGCGACGGGGCTTGAGGAGTGGGGAGGGGGGGGGGGGGGTTAAAATTAATGTTATCTCTCATTGTATTCTAATTAAAGGTCTCAACAAAGGGAACCGTTTTCTACCAACTACTGCCCTGTCCTCTTATCAAAGTACAAGGTGGAAGGGGGGGGGGATGTGGAACTAGTTTTATCCTACATGGTACTCTAATGAAAGGTCTCAACGAAAGGAATTAATTTCTAACAACCATAGTCCTCCTCCTCGGCCTCTTATCGTGATCGGATAGAATTCGTTAGATGTCAATGGAGATGTCCAAACTTTCCGAACGGAGTGTCGAGCGGGTACTCTCAATTTTGAATATCTCGAAAATGTTGGGGGAAGGTACCTGCAAAGGAAAAATGCAATATTTCTGATAATTTATCTAAGGACCTACTGATTCTTCTTGCATTATATAGCGTAGATTTTGAATGTATACCAGGCAGCCTTTAAATGTTTGTGTGTAAAGAGCCCTTGGCACTTCGCGACCATAGGTCTCTGGGTGAGAAATTCACCCCTATAGTTCAAAAGATTGACTCGCAAAAAATAGGTTTCAGTTTCTAACTTATTTTGAAAAGCAAACGATAAGTTCTAGCATTACCAAAAGAAGGTTGCATTCACTTACTGATCGTATAAAGGGGCACAATTGGCCCTTACGTATAAAATTCGTGCATCTCTCCCCCAAAAGGGTCTAAATAAGGAACATTCCAACAGAAATTAACTAATTGACTTTTACTGAAAAAGGTTATTAACCGAAACATAATTTTTTTTGTTTTTTCATCTGTTTAACTTAAATTTGTTCTTTGTTTCAGATTCCAGAAGGGCAGCCTTATTATAAAGGTAGGATTTTTCTTTTTCATGCATGGGTTCTTGTATTTCTTTTTATGTATTTAGCGGGGGGGAGTGAATAGTGATTAAAAAGAAGATCAAGCAGGTAGGTATTTAATTCGACTGATCTTCGTATGATACTAAGTGAGCTGTGGTCATCTTCCCAGTCTATCAACTTGGTGGTGGCGTAACACTGACTGCAATGATTCTTGCACTGGTCTCTCTCACTGCATGAATCGGTTCACTTCATATAAATCAGTATGACTGTGAATTCACAGCCATGCCAGTTTATTTAAGTAAACGGGTTTTCCTGTGAACCAGACTTTAGGAAGAAAGTTTTAGTCAGTTCTTCCGTTGCCAAATTGATTGATTTCGAGGATTGCTATACCTTATTTAGTTTCGCGCGAAAATCAGATTAAATGTTTTTAAAAGAAGGTAAGTAATTTACTATAGGCGCGAGTTTGCTTATTATTGTTCATGAGATAAAAGATGAGTTAACGAGAGAGACGAACGGTAATTTATATTGTAAATTGTTTAATAAACGAACAGCGCCCGCAAGTGCTTTTAGAAAACACGATGGGCCTAACTAGTCTTTTCGATTGTTCACAGGGCACCTTTGGGCGAGGAACCAACTTCTGTAATGGGTCACTGCTTCCAGTCTGCTTTCGTTCCTGTTGCACACGGTTCAGGCGCATGAGGTAAGTACGCCATTTTGTTTAGTATTAGTTTAGATCTTTCAGAACTTTTGAATTTTCTTAACGTAGATAATGTGTAAAACGAATTGCACTTAACAGAGTTTGATTACAATTTAAAACATTAGTATAAAAATCACGAATTGTGACCCACATAGCATTAGTGTATATATTTCTTCATTTTTCAGTTACTATCATCTCACGACGTCGGGATACCAGTTCCAGAACGTGAACGGGTGTGAGTAGCAGCGTGCCGCCTCTCCACTCCAGGCGAGACCGAACTATAAGGCTAAAGGGTAAGTGTCTAATTTTTTTAATTGCGACCAACCCTAAAAATATGTCTAGAGATTGACCATAAAACGTTTTCAATAATTTAAAACAAATTAAATTTGACAAAGTCGTTTTTTTTTCAACATATTTTTGTTTGTTTCAGATTCCAGAAGGGCAGCCTTATAAAGGTAGGATTTTTTCTATTCTAAGCATGATCTATTGTTTTTTTGTGTATTTAGCAGTGGGGGAAAAGTGAATAGTGCATATAGTGACTAAAGTGAAAATCAAATAATACTGTCGCGTTATAATCATAAGTGAGGCGTCGCCATTTTCTTAGCCTATCATCCTAGGGACGGGGGACTGATCGCGATGATCCTTTGGACGGTCTCGTTCGCGATATCTTTCGGTTTATTTCATTGAATCAGTATGACTATGAATTCATGGCCATACCGGTTTTGTGACCTAAACAGAGTTTGTCTGCGAATCGGGCTGAGGGAATATTGCAGCCAATCATTCCGCCCCCATGGTGAATGTCTTCGACAATGGTTATACCTCATTTTTTTGGTTTCTAAAGGTGAGTGATTGAAGCACTATAGACGTACCTATTCTTTTATTAATCATTTAGTCTTGATGTTGATCTGAGCTAGTTGATTATTGAAAGAACACGTCTAGCATGTACTTTAATGTGGTTACTAATTTCTATGATTGTTCGCAGCGCCAGTGGTGGGTCTACTCCAGAGGTAGTCATCTTCTGTGGTGGATTCAAGTTCGATGGTTCAACCTAAAGTCATAAGGTATGTCAGTGTTTTTAATTTAAAAAAATTCGATAGGCACTACATTTTAATTTGATCCAAAGTCAAATTTAAAAGATAAAACAAGGGATTTGTGACATATTGGTGCTACAAAAATGTAATGTCTTTTTTGATTTTTAATTATACATTGCAAGGGTTGTCCCAAAAGTAACTACCTACACCTATAACATTTTTAAAATTAATTTTTTTAACCATTTTTTCACCAACACGGTATTGGAAGACTTTGGTAATTTATAATGTATCACCTTTCAGTTATTGGTAATGGATCTGATGTCTGTACCTCACCATCGCCGTTTGCCAGTGGTCTACGAACGTTCGGTTGTGGTGCCCCTTTTTCGGTTAATGATCTTCTCAGGCTAGAGCGAATTAATAAGGCTAAAGGGTAAGTTTTCTACCTTAATTGGAGTGTAATAAAATGTAATCCTTAAGATATTTTTAAATAATCATTTCTTTTCATCTTTTTAACGTAAATTTTTTCTTTGTTCTAGATTCCAGAAGGGCAGCCTTAGAAAGGTAGGATTTTTCTTTTTCTATGCGTGCTGTATTTGCAAAAAGTGATTGAAACAAGATTATCGATTTGTTATAACTGACCTTAGCGTTGTACTAAGTGCAATATGATCTGCTTCTCACCCCACCCACTTAGTAACGTAAGAGTGACTGCAATGATTCTCCAATAGTCAGTTTACAACATACCAATCAGTATGACTATGTAAATGGATTTCTTGCAAGTCAGATTATGAAGACGTACCTATTTCAGATCAAACTTCCGTTAACAAGTTGAATGTCTTTATTATTACACCTCAATTATTATTATAAGGTGAGTAAATAATTGCTATTGGTTTACTTTGGTTCAGTGGATACAGTCGCATGCGGTAAATGATTTAAATAGTTGCAAATATATATTCAATTTTTCTATTCTGATTGACTGGGCTGACTTAATTTACCCCTAATTTTGAACACTATTCATGTTCTGATTTGAAACGTTTTTCTCTACTCAGTGCCTTCGTATTAATACAAAAACCGCGCCGCGGGAAAAGTGCGAAAGTGAGTAGTGTTTAGTTGCATTATCATTTTTTTATAATTATGGTACCGGATGAGATATGGCATTCGTCTAAAGTCGTCTATTTTTCAAACTATATTATCTTGTAAAGATGAAAATTAAGGGAGTACAACTTATGACAGATCGATAAACGTCTAATCCGCCCAGAAATCACTTTACTCCAAATCACTAATTTGGTATAGCCATGAATTCATGGCTGCACCTGATTGATATGGATTAAAAATTTTTGCTGCGTTTGGGACTGTGTTGCTGATATGGGTTTTGTTTCCAATAATTTATCAGTTAACATTAAAGCGTAGAGGAATGTTATAATGTCTCTGGTACCATTAAAACGGTAAGTGAATGTTCGGGGGTTCAGTGGGACCACTTGAGTCACCTGCGAATGGCCAACGCCCCACCCCCATTTTTTTAATTTAATTTATTTGAATTTCCCCGTATTAGCTACACATCTGCAAGTCAGATTATGAAGACTTATTGCAGACACACTTTTCGTTAATAAGTTGAATGTTTTGGATTTATTATTATACGAAGATGAGGGTTTTGCTTTCTAAATCAAGGTGAGTGATCAAATAGTTGCTTTTGATTTACTTTGATACTGTGGGTAAAGTTGCATTAGGTGAATAAAACGCTTGCAGATACGCCACTTTTCTATTCTGATTGACTGAACTGACTTAATTTACTCGTAATTTTGAACACTAATTCATGTTCTGATTTGAATACATTTTTCTCTATCATTGTCTACTCGGGAAAAGTGCGAAAGTGAATGGTGTTTAGTTGAATGATTACTTTTTATAACTATGGTACCGGATGAGATATGGCATTCGTCTAAAGTCGTCTAATTTAATTTAATTAATCCCCTTATTTGGTATAACCACGAATTCATGGTTGCAACTGATCGATATGAAGTAAATGTGTTTTGCTTCCAATAATCTATCAGTTAACATTAAAATCTAGAGGAATGTTATATATCTCTGGTACCTTTAAAACGGTAAGTGAATGTTCGGGGGTTCAGTGGGGCCACTTGAGCCACATGTGAATGGCCAACGCCCCACCCCCATTTTCTTAATTTAATTATATGGATTTCCCCGTATTAGCTACACATCTGCAAACTTTTCGGGTTGGTCAAGTAGAAGAAGTAGGATGGGAAGAACACGTCACGCCCTGGTACGTAGGCTCTAAACTGTTTCGAATCCTAATCGACTCAAATTTCAGACAAGGCGGTTGGTGGAATCCGAGCTTTAAGCAGATCCCGCACAAGTTCGGCATCAAAAATTCCGGAGAACATCGAGGCAATGGGCTACTTCCGGCAACTCCGGCGCCGATCCTGATCTTTTTGCTCCTTTGATAATTTGATAGTCTCACATCAAGTGCCTCCACTTGCAGTTTGAAGCTTTTTGATGCCTGGTTTTAGAACTGTTATTTTATCAACGTAGACAGAGAGAAAGTCTGGCACTCCATCAGACCTTTACTCTGCCTAGTTTGTGCATCCAAACCCCTCGAAACATCTCTGAAGCTTATCTTCGAGAAGTAAGTATCTTCGTCTCATTTTTTGTGTATGATGTGTTGCCTATCTAACTCCAATCATTCTTCACATAAATATCTAGTTACCGTGTATGTTATTTTTTCATTGTTAACATGAATTGAATTCCTATTTTAAAATACATATAATTCGTTGGTACCATTTTGATTGCATAGCCTTATCATAAAAATTACCAAAAAAAAATTGCGGGCCGACAGACAGACCAACCGATTCTGTTTGATTTGGATTCCTGGTGCTTCAAAACGTCTATTGCTGTCAAAAAAGGGGGGAGATCATTTTTTACTCCAATGCAATGCCTCCCATCAACGTGCGGGTGGTAACAAATGGCAAAGTGTACACTGACCTTTATATGTTTGGATTTGGCGGGTTCATTTATGACATAACCTAATTTTATTTCAAGTTTTAACCAAAAAATTTGTGTCCCTTTTTTACTCGCTTTTTTAGTTAAGTAGACATAATACAATCATAAAAGGTGTTTTATTGACGGTAGACATGTTTGCACTTAGTTCGGAAAAGGTATCCGGCTCGGAACCGAATTACGTGATCAACTTCGAAGAGGCCGGTTTAATATCCGTCATCCACTTCTCGCCATACGAATCCTCTCAAGATCTTCTATTAATTGCGTTCCCTACAAAAATATTGGTCACGCAATTAATTATTCAGGTCGGTTTCTTTACGTGTCCGAATGTGTTCACTTTTGTCGTTTTCTAGGACAATGTCAGCTTGAAGGAGCTGGCACAGTTACATAACGGTGTCACCTGCACCGCTTTGGCCCTATCATCGGAAACTAGCATAAGCACGCTTCCTTGCAATGTTGTATTTTGTGTGGCGGGCGACGACTATAAAATTAGAGTGTTCAAAAGCGATTTGGCGCTCGATTCCAGTACAAAAGTTAGTTTGTATACGAGTATTCATTTCTGAAAATTGTATTTCAGATATTGAGCGGCCACTCTGACTATATTAATGATATCAGTTACGATCCTGAGGGTAATTACTTAGCTTCAGTGAGTGACGATAACACAGTGAAGGTGTGGAATACGGATAATTACAAGTGTGAAGCCACATTATTTTTAACTTCACCAGGTGAATATTTTGTACTGTGTAAGAGGTACTTCTTGTTTTTTGTTTTTGGATTGTCCAATGAGACACCTCTACCTTTTAGCTCTCCTCCCATTTATCTGATGGCTTGTAGGATCTGAGAGTTTTTATTTTGTTTTAATTTGATTATTACAGGCACAGCCGTCTGTTGGCATCGTGAGGATGCGTCCAAGTTAATGGTGGCCGAAAAGATAGGATTGATCCGATTTTATAATGTTAACACTCAGAAGCCCATACTATCGTTGGAATTTGGCAAGCCACTAAGTGCCGCACATTGGTCGCCTTCAGATTCCCAAGTTATCTGCTCGCTGCACCTTGGAGAGTTAGTGGTATGGGATTTAAGTCATCCAAGGTAAAGTGTAGTGTCGATCAGGCAATCTCTAAGAACGAATTTGCAGTCTGCCGACAAATTCGAAGCTGCTACATACCGCGGATGGGGGATATTTAAAAATTAACGCAACAGGCGAGTTGGTGGCATTTGTAAATCGACTGGAGGGATATGTAAAAGTCGCTATGGTCAATTCGCAACAGCAACGTCTGTGTGCGTCTCTCGATTTGCCCACCAGTCTTACCTGGCATTTCCGACTTCCTTTACTCTGCGTGGCTAACGATAATAAATTATGTTTTTGGAAAGTTTCTAATAAATAAACATTTCTGATATTTTTTGCTAGTAAGTATTCTATTTTGTTTATTATACAGAGCACCCAAAAAGTATTGAATATCTTATATACAGTGCGTAAATTTTAACTGAACATACAAATCTATGTTCAATTTTAAATATACAAGTCATTTTATTCTGATGGTTGGATTGAATGGTTCTAATTGTAGAAATGAAGTTAAATATCTTAGTGCACGTAAAAGAAAATCGAATTATAAAACCACTGTAAAGGCAGTTCCACTGTTAATACGTCGAATGCGCTATACAAATTGGTCGGATACGTTTCTTTTGTTTACGCTGCTGTCAAATTTGTGTGTAAGGTGGGTTGCATAATTGACAGGCATATCAATGCATTAACTTGTAAATGATAGGAGATTTGTATGTTCCGAGTGTTTATGCACTGTATGTATGACTACATATACAGCGTGGCAAGTTGACGGCGAGACATAGGGAAATAATATGGGAAAATGCATTTTCGGCAATTCCTGCTCCCCATTTTAACATAAAGAAAAAATAAAAACACCCTCGGATAGATAATTAAAATCGGCATTAGATGTCACCAAGAAATCGTGCCTAAGCCCTTTTTTCAAAGTATAAAAGTTAAATAAATGAATCCAAAAAGGTAGTAAAACATTGTACCTACCGCATTTGTCACCTAATTCTGTCATCTCTAATAAACACGCCAACATGGATAATAAGTACACTACAGAAGAAAATGTCTTTATTGTAAAATTGTTTTATACTGGAAATAATACACGGCGAAGTTCGTGATTTATGTATTTTCAGTTAAGTTTGATGACAGGCCAATCTTTTATAGTGTAATTATTTCACGTTTTCGTGGTTGAAGTTAGATGATAGTCAAAGGGACGATTTGTTGCAGTGGGTACCTAGCAAGTGTGACACGTCACTCCATGGCCAACCAGTTTCTACCAATTTTTAGGATTTTTTATTTAATTTTTAGGCTGGCATGAAACCTCACAGTTGCGTATTTTTATGTCATCCGATGGATTTTTTAATTATCTATCCGAGGATGTTTTTATTTTTCCTGTAGGATGAAATGGGGAGCAGGCGAGGGAGCAGGAATTGCCGAAAATGCATTTTCCCTATGTCCCGCCGTTAACTTGCCACACTGTATATTGATTGAATCAACTGGAAACTGGTTCTTATTGTTTTTGTTTTGTTTCTTGAAATTTATGTAAAATTTTATACACAGAGGACTTCATCCAAATCTCTATTATGCCTTTTTCTGACAAATGAACAATTTTTCATTTTATTGTTGAATATGTTAAACTGAACCATTGACCAAGCACTTATTCAATAACTGAACCCAGTTATGGTCTTTATAATATTACCGCAGCATATTGTGATTTACGTTGCATTACCAGTGATTGTTTATAGATTGTTCATTTCCGCTGCGCTTTTGTTTTTCACAAAAATTTGAAATGTAAGCTTACACCTAATGAACAAAAAATCATTTTTCAATAGAGCCAATATATACGATAATTGATACTTTGGGATACTAACAACGAATAAGTGAATGTATTTATATGTATTTAAACTACAGGCAGTGCTGACAAGAAAACTATATTTTAGAAACATGCGTCATCTCAATTTGCACTCCAGTATTCTAGAACGGTTGACTCAGGTTTTGACCCAGGTTTTATTTTTAGTGTCAATTATATGTTAAATGTGTTAGAACGATTGGCTACAGTATACAATTGCGCAGCGTTAAGTATACAGAGAATATTCCTCTATAAATTACGCTTCCGGTCATATTGTCCATTATGGCACCTTTATGTTAAGAGTATCTCTTAAATCAATTAATTCACTATTACTCAAGCTATTACTTATTCCAAGAGTACGTTTTTCAATGTAGTTTTGCGACGAACTTTGGTGGGAAGTCTGCGCACGAACGATTACTTGAAAATTAAACAGTACAGGGTGGCCAACTAAGAATGCGAGGTACTGTATCTGAGAAACTCCATCGTAGAGGCTTGCGGTAAGAAAAGTTATAACTAAAACGGCCACGAGAAAAACCTGGAAAATATTTTTAAGTTTCTGAAATGGCCGCTAGGGAGCGTAACTGCAATCTGTAATCTAAAGTCACTAAATATAGAAAGCACCGCAATCCATTGGGCTCGTGTGTTAGAGAGAGAACGCATGATTTTTGCCCAAAAATGGCGGAAGTTACCAGATTCTAGTAACTTTAATGTTAGGGATTGTTCCACATGTTTGGAGATATCTGTATATATTTTTATAAAACATGACAGTACTATGAAGTTAGGTTATAAAAAATTACAGCTATTCACATTTTATTTGTCAATTTTTTTTAAGTTGGCAGCAAATTTGCCCAAAAATGGCGGATGATTGCGGTACTTTCTATATCTAGTGACTTTACTGTAATCTAAAAAAGTGATGTTTCTGTGAATTACGCTATGCTATATTAACCTAAGAAAAAAATGTTCAGTCTTTGAAGTCGACGATAATCGCTGAACATTTTTTGTTTGAAAATTTTTGCTGTGTATCTCTAAAAATGTAGTGGTGGGGGGTATTCAAAGGATTCTGTAAAAAAAAACACCCTGTATGTTCAAACGGCCGAGCCGATTTAAAAATTAAATGCATTGGTTCGATTTTTTTTTTTTCATGAAAAAGTAGCTTAATTATGCCTCGAGCACTTACGGCGGCATTTAAAGCTTCCTTTTTTAAATCGATCCACCTTAGGGCGACAAATTATATAATAAAAATAATTCCGGAAGAATTAGGTTAAAAAAATAAAAATTTGGGGGTATAAAAATTTCTTTGGCCTAAATTTTAGGTTAGGAACAAGATATCGAGATGCGGTTTTTGCGAGCCTGTTTAGTCATTATTTAGCTACTTTTTCATGAAAAAAAATCGAACCATTGCATTTAATTTTCTTGAGAAAATTTAACCATTTCTGTCGGAATGTCGATAAAAGCCCTCAAGCGTTGATATGTGAAACTAACAAAACTGCAAATATTATATTTGTAATTGTAACTGAAGAATAGCTCTTTGGAACTAACCCAAGTTTGTTTAAATCGGCTCAGCCGTTTCGAAGATACAGAGTTTTCTTTACGGAAACCGTTGAATACATCAGTTTTTTAGATTCCAGATTGCAGTTACGCCCCCTAGCGATCATTTCAGAAACTTAACAAAATATTTTTCAGGTTTTTCTCGTGGCCGTTTCAGTAATACTTTCTTTACCGCAAGCCTCTACGATGGATAAGTTCCAAGATACAGTACCTCGCATTCTTATTTGGCCACCCTGTACATAGAATATGTAATTTTAAAAAAATTAAATTAATTAAGCCACAAGAAAATACAATTACATGTAAATTTGAATTACAAAATAAAGGGTGGGCACGGCGACAGTCAGCGGGACCGTACGGTAATTCGAGCGCCACCAGAAGATTCTGAAACCCTGCTTCTGACCAAGGAACGGTTTCGGAAGCCTTCAGGTAATTAGACGGTGATTACAGGGACCGGGCGGTCTGCCACTGGGGAATACTGTAAAACGTTCGGCGCGCTCGGGTAAGAACGTTTCATTAATTCTGGGACCAGCCCCAAAATTAATGCTCATTACGCGCGCTGCATTTGACACCAAACACACGACCCTGCTTTCAAATGGCCGGGCTGAAATTCCGAAATTCGGTAGTTTCGTTAACATCGGCCCGGAATTTTGGAAGCAAAAAACGACAGGTTAACTTTATCGTGTTTATTTACGTGTAAGCGAGTGACCTTGCTGGTTTCTATGCTAGTTTTAAATTAAGATGGAGCAACTAAAATCGGGCAATCATTAATTAACGGAGGTGAAATCATACTATATTAATTTTAATATCTACGACCTACGGGAACGACTACAAACGGCCATTTAGTTACAGCATCTTGTGTTTCTTATAGGCCCCGGCGGTAATTACATTGACCTTCTATTTCTTTTAAAGAAGCGTCCGTTTCAGTTCGTTGAAGTACCAAGTGTTCAATAATGCTGGTAGATTCCATCAATGTACGAAAACGGGTGCTTCGTTACAGTTCCAGCTTATTACAGTTTGTTGGGGAAGATTGAAAATTTGAGAGCAAGGTCACGTACGTGCGTGGTAACTACTGTTTTTAATTGTTTGTCAGTATCATATAGAAGGAGGCACTTGCGTACTTGGGTATGCTGTGCTCCATCTAATTTTGAAACAATTTTTTTCTAAAATCAGAGCGAAATTCGTTCATTTCATCCCATGTGTTATGGAAGAAACTCAAATATTGGGACTTTTGGGGGCATAGAATTCGAAAAAAACCATTTTGAACTTTAAATTGGCCTGCTTTATCGGTAATGTATACGAACATTGTATAATCGGGACGGCCTCGCCAGCACCAAGCGATCAGGTGCGTCGCTCCGACGAAGGGATTCGTTCGCTCAATTGGGACGGGTTTTTATTTGCTTTACCTGTTGGTGGTCACGTTACAAGAATTTCGTTTTTAGCGTATTTGTTCCTCAAAGTGAAAAATCGCTATTGGCTGCACTTTGACGTCCGTCTGTCCGTCACACGTATTCCTTCTAAACCACTGAACCGATTATGGCGATATATTAGTCATTTGGAAGGGCTTTCTCCAAGGATTCCGTGCATATTTTTTGGTTTTGCGCATGCGCATTGTCAAAAATTTGGTTTAACGCATGTGCGATGCTAACTTTTTTGTTTATGAAGATATTTAAATGAAACTTTATATGTAAACACTATGAATATAAGTAACATTAACGACGTTTCCAAAATGTTGTTTTGCGCATGCGCAATGCCAACTTTCTTATTTATGAAAACAGTTAAACAGTTATTTGATTCGGATTCCTGCTGCTTCAGAACGTGTATTTCCGTTAAAAAAAACTGGGGGGTCATTTACCCCAATGCAAGACCTCCCTTACAATCGTGCGTTGTGTGGTAAAAATTTGCTGTGGCTAACGCAGATACCGCGCCGCATTATAATTAAAAAATGTTACGTAATGTAGGTACTGGCAAATAAATCTGGGCAATTATGCGTAATTAGGAAAGCCCGTCAAATTTGGTTCAATTAGTCATAATCATAATATGGAAAATCGTCAAAAATCGACAGTTTGTTGTTACTTTAACACACTTCGCATTCACGATCATATCTAAAAGCTTTTCAGCTCTTCTTTTTATGTCTATAAGAATATGTGTACCTACCAAATTTGGTTCCAATGGGGTTCAGCCGAAAGTACAGACAAACAGGCCCACTTCATCGAGATTTTGTTTGATTGGGATTCCTGGTATTTCAAAATGTGTATTTCCCTTAAGAAATACGGGGAGGGGGGGTCATTTTTTACCCCAATGCGATACCTCCCTTACTTAACATGTGGGTGGTAATAAAACGCCACCGGTGCGCACTTTGGTTTTTTTCTTAGTTCAGTTCCATTCCTTCTTACACCCTTCTACTTAAGAGATTTACCAAATATCGTAGAAAACATTCTTTTGGACAAAGATCATGATCTTTGCTTTGGAGAAACGACCTTTTAACTTAATCAGACAATATCGCGGCACAGGTCTGTCAACGATATTATAATTAGAGCAGCAAGCATTCCGTCATAAAGGAACCAAAAGGTTGCTCAAAAAGTGACTGCTGACTGGTAGACCACAAACAAACAAAAATGCTTCTCCGGTTAATCAACTGCAGTGGGGGAGGAAAATAAGAAAAAGCGAAGTATACGCCACCTATATGGGACCATTGCACATTTGTGCTGGTTAGTTGAATTTTTGGAACCGTCTTTCGTCCGTTTTTCCTTAGAAAACTATAGCAACTCGAATATCATGAAGTTAATAAATCACAACATCCATGAAAAAAAATATCTGAACTGAACTAACAAAAGGCAAAGTTACCGATAGAAAAAATCAGTATTGCGGAAACGCTGCCTCTAGGAGAGCCCTATAAAATAAGTTTTGTACCTATAATTTTTCATGCCAGTCCAGTTTCTGAACAAAGAACGGCCACAAGGTCATTTATTTGCAATAATGTACTCAAAATGTCAAAATTCTCATTGTTGTGAAAACCTTGGTCACGACTGACGAGCCGCCCCTGATTAATTGATTCGCGTATTGATAGATGTCACCGCATGACCGGCAAGCACTGCCTGTAATTTATTTGGGAAAAATTAAAAAAATCGCTATTTACTCTGTATTTACTTTATAAATACATTTATGTTTTAATAACGAAAGCTGATGTAAGAATTTTTATTATGCTGTCATATTACTACAGTTAATTGCATTAAAAAAAAAAGACACATTTGCAACACCATGCTTTTGTGTTGGTTAAAAATGTAAAGTGCATGCGGTGGTTTGAAATTTTAGCAGCAAAGCAGCCTTAACTCGGTGAGATGGCAGGACCAGACGTAGCGGGGCTTGCGGCGGACTTGGCTCGGGCCGTAGAACTCACGATGAGTGCAAGTGCGTCGCAAGCTGATCGTTTAAAAGCTTACAATGCCTGCGAGAGCTTTAAGGAGACTTCACCGCTCTGCGCAGAGGCGGGCTTGTTTTTGGCGGCCGACACGAGACACTCACTCGTCGTTAGACACTTCGGCTTGCAGCTTATGGAACACACCGTGAAGTACCGCTGGAACCACATCTCGCAGCAGGAGAAGCTTTTTATAAAGGTACCAGTGCACCTTTCGACGAGTTTTACCTGATTCAACTTTTCAGGAGAACGCAATGAAGCTACTGGCAGCTGGCGGTATAAGCGACGAACCGCACATGAAAGACGCACTAAGCCGCGTCGTCGTGGAAATGGTTAAAAGGGAATGGCCCCAACAGTGGCCCGGACTGTTGGCCGAACTGTCTGATGCGTGTGCCTGTGGAGAGACTCAGACTGAACTTGTACTGTTAGTGTTCCTTCGTCTCGTGGAAGACGTCGCTCTTTTACAGGTGATATCGATTTCGACTCCCCCCGCAGAATGTGACTTGTAACAATCACTTTTAGACGCTCGAATCGAATCAACGACGAAAAGACATTTATCAAGCATTAACAACAAACATGGCCGTAATTTTCGAATTTTTCTTAAGACTTATCGAACTCCACGTTAATCAATTTAGATTATGCAGCGAATCGGGCAATGGAATTAAGGCGAACTCGCACTGTAGAGTTGTACAAATTGTTCTCTTAACTCTTACAGGTTTTGTCGAATGGGTTTCTATGTCGCACATTATGGCACACGACGGTCGCCTGTTGCAAATTTTGTGCTTGTTGCTTAATGATATGGCATTCCAGTGTCCTGCAGCCGAGTGTTTATTACAGGTGAGAGAAGGTGATGCAAATGTACTACAGATAGCTAGCTCATAGGGAAATTTGGAAATGTAAAATTTACGCTTGTATATTTATAATGGTCTCCTTTATGAGCCTGCCTTAAAGAGCCATGCCTAATCTATATCACCAAAGTCCAAATATTTTTTGCTGAAAGCAGATATAATTCATTTGTTTTTTTTTACCCTACTGTATTGAAAACAGTGGTATTCACTCAGCTACAATGTTGCAATTTAACAAGTTAAAAATTTAAACATTGTTAAGATGCGAGCGAGTTACAGGATAGGACCATGTTAATGATCATGAAATTTTATACAGGGTGTCCCAAATTTTTTTTTAATTGACAATCCTAATTTTTCTTAACTACACCATTCTAAAAGAGTGCATCGAGTTAACATGTGTGTCAAATTTCAAATTTTTGTTTTTCATATGTTTTATCATTTTGACGCGTTTGAGCGAGACAAGAAATAAGAAACTAAAATTTGGAATACCCTGTACAACATTTTATTACATCAGAAAGAGAGCGTTTAAAAGACTAATCGACATGTCTGAGTTACCTAAAAAAAAACTTTGATTTACTGAATTTATTTCAAGGTAGAGATTCGCCGGTATATTAAAGAGACTTTGTATGGTAAAATTATTGTTAACCCAGGAAAATTAGCCTTTTGCCAGCAAATAAATATGCACAAGCTGGAAATAATCATAAGTGACAATAGGCATCCCAAATAAGTGTTAAATGCGTTTCGGACTTGTGCAACACTTTTGAAAAACCATAAAATTTTTAGACTTTTTTTTGCGCGAGGGGTATTTCACAGGGCAAACTTTTTTACACGTACTGCCGAAATTGGTACTGCTTGGTACTACCTGGTACTGCTAACTCTTGCCAATGTACTACTTGGTCTCGTACTCGGCCCTGCATGTTTACTGCCAGGTATTACCGGGTCCGGTTTGCATACTGCCATGATCCACGAAACGAAGACCGTTTTGTCGACATTTTTGTAATGCCTTCAAAAGAATGTTGCAATGATCAATAGTTTATTTACGACGCTAAAAGGTACTAAGGAATATTTCATTGCTTTACACTTGTTAATTATACAGTGAGCGGCTAAAATATAGAATAAATTTGTGTTGCGCATTTTTGCACTAAAGAGAAAATATACAGGGTGCGGCAAAAAGTAGATTTTGATACCAAAGTTGATTTTTTCAAAGCAACAGTATTTTTTTAAATTCCATTTTCGAATTCTGCTCATAATAAACATAAATAACTTTATTTATTAGACATTTTCTACAGTTCCTGTCTAAATGGCGTAGTTCAGACAGGGATAGTATCCGTGTCGGCTCTTCCACTCAACCCTTATTATGACGCACCCTGTATATGTGTACATATATGTGTGCTAGCAATTTTTTTTAACCTAACGCCTGATTATCAGTTGAATTTGTTCTACATTTTAGCCGCTCACTGTATATGAAATGCAGGGTGCGTTTTTTTTCATTTTCACTATGGAGATCTCGTAAACCATAAGGGATACAACGTCATTGAGGGTAAAGTTATGCAGAATTTTATGTTAATTAATGTTCGCACTCAAAGTTTCTTGTAACTCTACAAATAGCGAAGTTTTAGCCAAAAAACCGAAAAATGTCATTTTAAAAAATGCGCCAGCATTAATTTATTTCATAATTATTGCCATAAGAAATACATTGTAAACTTCAAGGCAAAAATCAAGGTTTGTTCCTAAATGAAGTACCACGTGCAGGGTTGCCAGATTGCGTACGGCCGTCTGCCGGACATAGGCTGCCAAACCCCCCCCCCCCCCCCATGGTTTTTAATCCCACCAGTAACACCTTTTACAACTCCAAAATTTAAGAATTTTTTTTATTTCAAATTGTTATAAATAAACAAATAAAACAAAGTATACATTCTTGCAATATAAGTAATATAAGGGTAAATACAGTGCACTTAATTTAATAATTGAAACATAAACATCAACATCGCTGTTTACACATAAATAGTCAAAACAAGAAAGTTAAACATATTTTTCTGATTTTCTTGCAAGTGTTAGTAGTTTTTTTTTGTTTTTTAATACAAAATCATAGAAATCCTATTTGTGATTTTGTCATATTTAAAAATTAAGGTGTTATTAGGTGCTTCAAAAGGAATCGTTTGACCTATTTGAAAAGTATTAAAATGAAATTTATTGTTCTGCCGGAGTTATATTCGCGCCTGCCGGGGGCCGGAGAGCACGATGTAAAACCTGAGATTCCGGCTGAATGCCTGACATCTGGCAACCCTGACTATGTGTTTAGCACCACCGATTTTGTAATTTTATTCTCTATCGAGTGACGTAAAAATTAAATATGGCGTCCATAAGAAAATGAAAGTTGATGTGATTTATTCGAAACCTCCAAATCATAAAAATGTTATTTTAGCACCATCAGAAAGCGGAGGAAAATTACAACGCGGTTTGTTAAGATTATGTTTTGATTTCTTTGAGAATAAATGAACGTTTGAAATTTTTCGTTTTTTTGGCGATAACTTCGCTATTTGTAGAGCTACAAGAAACTTTGAATGCGAAAGTTAATCAGCATTCAATTCTGCATAACTTTGCCCATTTACGCGAGATTATATCCCTCACAGTTTACGAGATCCCCAGTGAAAATGAAAAAAACTCACCCTGTCTATGTCCTTATACACTGTGTCCAAGATAAGGATGTCTATCATGGGGATCTCGGAAACCATACAAAATACGAAGATGGTTAAATTAGGGCAAAGTTGGGCAATTAATGAGTAATTGTCGTGCTTTAAAGAAAACCAGAAAATGATGATTTTATTTGAACGCATACAAAAAAAATAAAAAACAAAAGTTGGGAACTGTTGGTTTCAATGGGATGGTGCACGCGCGGACGATTTAGGCATTCTGAGCAGGTGCACCATCCTGTTGAAATCGATAGAGCTTCCAGATTTCGTTTATTTTGTACGGTACATAGTTGTATAATAAAAAATCCTACTTGATACAGTATGTACATTTTTTATGGGCCATATAAAAAAATAAAGTTGATGATGATTTCTCCGAAACGAAACATTGTATTGAAAATCTCTCAACGGTATCTTGTAAAGCTCAACTAATAATAATAATAATAATATGTTTAATGATATCTACATGCGTAAAAAAAATAGTATAATATACATACAAAAAGTGGTAATAAGAAAGCGTTTTTTATTTTTTTGTATCTACTCAAATAACACTAGAAAAAAATAAAAACGAAATCGGAAAATTTCGGTTTTTTTGGAATATCTTTGGAAGTAATCGGAATTTTCTGGTTTTTGTAATTGCTCATCTTTTTTCTAATTTGACAATCGTCGTATGAAGTATGGTTTCAGAGATAATTTTTGGTTTCATACAAAGTTGTACAATTCTAAGGGGGCTAACCGATGATCCCCCTGGGGATGACCTTGATCTGGACCTTCAAGGCTATTCCAACTTCAGAATTTTGAACGAAACCGGTTAGAGTAGAGCTCTTGGGTCTACGAAGGTAGGGATGATCAGATACGTCCCAAAATGTATGTACACACTTTGGACCTTTCAAGCGTGTCACATGTAAAATTTCAATCCCCTACGTATAAGGGTGGGAGGTTACAAATTTTTTTTATTAAAAAAAGCGACGACAATTGTGCGCAAATGATGTAAAAACTATGAACAAATATTTTTCAACCCCCACCCTTATACTACTACCCCCGACGCTTGGTCTTTGGTGTAACATGTTTGGGAGATGTAAATCGTGAATATGAAAATTTTGGGACGTATCTAATCCATTTCTACATTAATTGATGGATTTTCCGAGTGCAAAATTAGGAGGCCCCCTTCAGAATCCTAAAGTTTACCGTGAAGGTCGAGGTCAAGGTCACCACCTATTCGCCCCCTTAGAATTGTACAACCAAAAAAGATGATTCCATCAAGTTATGAAATTGTCTCAAGATAATCACCAAGATAATAGGAAGGATAACCTCAATATTTCTTTTTTTTTATTCGAAAAAAATGGTCAAATATAAGTTTGTATGCAACATGACGATCTATCCGATGGCGTATTGAAAGGTCCCGTTACACTAGAAATTGATACAACTTTTGTTTAAACCAACAGGTTTAATTAAACAGGATGGTGCACCGGCGGACGATTTAGGCATTGTGAGCAGGTGCACCATCCTGCTGAAATCGACAGAGCTTCCAGATTTTGTTTATTTTGTACCGTACATAGTTGTATTAGAAATAAAAAATGCTACTCGATACAGTATGTACTTTTTTTATGGGCCATATAAAAAAATAAAGTTGATTATGATTTCTCCGAAACGAAACATTGTATTGAAAATCTCTTAATGGTATCTTGTACAGTTCAAATAATAATAATTAATATGTTTACTGATATCTACATGCGTCAAAAAAATATAGTATAATATACATACAAAAAGTGGTAATAAGAAAGCGTTTTTTATTTTTTTGTATCTACTCAAATAACACTAGAAAAAAATAAAACCGAAATCGGAAAATTTCGGTTTTTCTGACATATCTTTGGAAGTAATCGAAATTTTCTGGTTTTTTGTAAAGCAAGATAATGGTTAGAGTAGGGCTCTTGGGTCTACGAATGTAGGGATACTACTACTACCCCCGACGCTTGGTCTTTAGTGTAATATGTTTGGGAGATGTAAATCGTATATGAAAATTTTGGGACGTATCTAATCCATTTCTACATTAATCGATAGATTTTCCGAGTGCAAAATTAGGAGGCCCCATTCAGAATCCTAAAGTTTACCGTGAAGGTCGAGGTCAAGGTCACTACCTATTCGCCCCCTTAGAATTGTACAACCAAAAAAGATGATTCCATCAAGTTATGAAATTGTCCAAGATAATGGAAGGATAACCTCAATATTTCTTTTTTTTATTCGAAAAAAATGGTCAAATATAAGTTTGATTGCAACATGACGATCTATCCGATGGCGTA